TACCCCTTGCTTAGCTAACACATCTGACAAAGTATTTGCTGATCTCCCCACCCACTGTACAGTGACCAACATATTCCTTGTCAACCAACTAAATTTCTTCATTTCATTHTTGTATCGCCACATAGCCTCTTCAGAATTTTTTAACCAACCCACCACCACTTTGGAATCCCCCTCGATTATTAGGTATTGTACCCCCACCTGGTTTGCAAATTGCACCCCCCTTGTACAGCAGCTAAGAGTTCTGCCCTGATGGAGTTCCCAATTCCCAAGGAACCTGAGTAGAGCAACAAAATCTCTCCCTTCTCATTTCTCAAAGCACCCCCCACTCCGGATAATCCTGGATTGCCCATGCTGCTTCCATCAAAGTTCAACTTTATTGAGCCTTCGGGTGGAGGAGACCAGCTTGTAATTGATTTGTTCTTTAAAGATGAGCACCTTGCTACTGYTGACCAATTTCTCCAAAGGTCRTTAAAGGAGAATTGATGGAAGATTTCCAAGGTCTTCAACCAATGCATTGCCCTGTTTAACACACAGTCTTTCAAATCTAAAGTCAAACTCTTTCTGAACAAAGAATATCAACTCCATTCAGCTCTACAATTGTGAATGGTGATTCAATTTTTTGAATTTCCAGAATCATTTCAGTTGCATTCAAAGCATGAAATATAGCTATATTATGGAGGTTCTGGGTACTAAGGTATACATGATATGGTATTTTCTCAATGGACCCAAGCCTAGAGAAAGAGTTTTCTAATCAAATATCAAATAAATTCCTGGGTTCATAGTCGTATCCCCGGGCCAAGAAATTAAATGGTCATTAATGAGGATCTTGTTCAAGACCAAACTCCAAAGATCACGGAAAAAAATGATATCTTAGAATGTGCAGGGGCCAAGCCTGTCTCGATTGAAAAGGCTGTTAAAACTCAAAACCAGGTCTTTGTAAAATGATTCAGCTAATAAGGATCCCCTGCTGAATCATTCCAAAACCTTCTAACATCATGCAGAACTGTATTTCTTGTTTGTTGCAAACAAACATGCAAATCCACATGGAAGGCTACCTTTGAATTATTCACATGAAGCCTTCATAAATATGGTTTAAATGGGTCAACATCATAATGTTGAAGAAATTTATGTCATAAACATAAAGCTACTGTACAGGAAGTGGAAAAGTGGTCGAGTAAAACAGTATAACTGGGGGAAAATGTTAAGATTAGCTTTTTGTGTAATCTTTTTGCAGGTTTTACTATGCAAGCACCTCTGTCTGCACCCAAGACATGACCTCAGGTTATTGTTAAATCCATGTCTCCAAATCTTTGGGGCAATCAACAAATCTCTCCCTGAATAACCCCTAGGCCCTAGTTAACTATAGAAGACAGACAATCAAATTTTATCTGATCGTAATATTGATAAAACTAATTCATACTAATACTAGAAGCAAGAAATAGGAGTACAAAATTCAGTCCCAAAAAGTTAAAAGGTGAAATTCCAAAAATGTGTTTGATATTTTGAATTATGTAATAGTCCAAAAAACTAAAATCTAGTGAACTGCAACATGAATAAAAATTATAGCGGCAGGGGATGCAAAGACTCAAGCAGGTGGAATAGTTCAGATGATAAAGGGACACAAAAAAAAAGTCCAGTTTCAGCAGGGAAAGTATTTTTCCCACTGATAAATCTCACAAAAGATCCAAGTTTTTCCCCATTGATAAATCTCATAAAGCAAATACCAATCCGTGCACCTCGTTCTACCTCTAATTGTGGCTTTCGTCTAAGAAGAGAATGGAAAGAAAATAATCTGCAAACAATATTCAGAATTGCACGCAATTATCAACCTCATTTGAGTAGTTTACGACAACCGTTTCCCCTACTTCTCCATATCTGCCTGATAAGATGGCAGAATCCTTCAGGAAGACGCATCCTTTTTATTCAAACCATAACTTCCAAAGGAAGAAAACACAAAGAAATGGTGGATCTAATAGAAACTCTAGAAAAACAGTCGAAACTGGCAACAGAAGAACCGATCTACAACAAAGGTGAATCAGATCGAACATGCTACAAACAAAT